GGCATTAATCTGCCTTCTGACTCAAAAAAAAAATCCTTCAAGAAGTTACCAAATCTCAGGGTCATGGTCATGAATGTAGAGTAATTTTATAGGAAAAAAAATTAGGGTCCCAAGTTTGTATTGTTTGGTTTTTAGGGTTCAAATTCAATGGGTGCATACTGGCAATATTAAACCCTGCAGGAAATAGTGGTCACATATTTTGAGCCCTGGGTTTTACAGATGAAGCCACTGAGCCACAGAAAAATGAAGACGCCTGCCTAGAATCACAGGCTCCTTCGTGGCAGATCTGGGAATGAACTGGCTCCTGACTCACAGCACTTTCCATCATTAGTTACAGTGTAACTCAGAAACTTGGGAAAGACGTGAGGATGTCCTGGTGGATGGGGTGGCCACCTTTGAAGAAGAAATCCCGAGAGTTTCGGAGGCTGACTATGTCACTAAGGGTATGAGCCCATGAACTTGACTTGCCCCCCTTGGGAAAGAAGGACAGTGGAAATCTTAGCAATTATTTCCTCTGTGCAAAATTCTTCCCAAGTAGTCTCTGAAATTAATTGTTGTTAAAAATGCTGATCTTAGTTAAATGGCTTGCTCAGGGCATGTTAGGTACACTGAAAGTAGTATTACATGGAATTTTACACTCACTCCCCCCCCACTTCTTCCTCTTCTGCTTTTTCTGCTTCTGCATCTTCCTCTTCCTCCTCCCCTTCTCTTCCTCCTCCCTTCCCTCCTCCCCCATCCTCCTCCTCCCTTCCTCCCTCCCTCCCCTCCTCATCCTCCTCCCTTCTCCCCTTCTGTCCCCCTTCCTTCCTTCTTTCCTTCTTCCCCTCTTCCTCCTCGTCCTTCCTAATCAGGAACCATATTTCTCTGTTGAGTCAAATTGCCAGGAATAAGTTTGTACAAATCATATGCATCCCTCCCTTCTCTTGCTCTGGCAGCCTTGGTCTGATTAGCAGCTTCCAGTGAAGAGTCAGGAGCATTAGTGGTGCTCAACAGCCTGGGGAAGGAGCACTCTCTTCCCAGGTGCATTGAAAGCAGTGCCTATCTGCCCCTCCCTCTTTCTCGTCTGTAAATCTGCCACTCCCGGGATCTGTGGTTTGTGTTTTCTTGTGTTTTGTTCCTTGTTTTTGAGACGGGTCTCCCTGTTGCCCCAGCTGGCTGTGTAGACCAGGCTGTCCTTGAACTCATAGATATCTACCTGCCTCCACCTCCTAAATGCTAGGATTAAAGGCGTTTGCCACCATGCCTGCCTGGCAGTTTTTTTGTTTTTTTTTTTTTCCTATTTCTTCAGTCTGCTGATAACTCGATGTTTCCAAGGATCTCAGTGTTGGATGAGAAGGAGTTGATTTCCTTAGCTCTTTTGAAATTCCATCTCAGTCCTGCATATGGATGGGGAAAACCTGGGTAAGAACAGAGATTTTGGAATCAGACTGCCTGGATTCAAATCTCCACTCCACTTGTTACTAGGGCCATACAGCCTGGCCTCAATTCACTAGTCTAACACCCCTCCCCCATCTCAGATGCTCAATGAGCATGCGTTTAGGTGAACCGATATTTGTAAAATGCTTAGAACAGCCCATGGAAGTGCTTCATAAATGACTGTTTAGTAAATTAAATGTTCTTGATTATACCAGAATTGCCTCCAGGTATAACTCTATTCCACTTAGACACTTTAATGCACAAGGCTGTAAGCCCCTTGAAGGAAGTGGCTGCTTCTTTCTCAATTAGAATTGCAAAGCACATCCTCTGTGAGGCCTTTTTATACAGTTGAATTAAAAGGGAAATAGCAGAGAAGAGAGATTTCCAACGTGGAGTGTAGCTAGCCTCTTTCCAGCTCAGTGAGCCGTCCACCTTCCTCTTAGGCTAATGGAAGTGCACCTACCTGCTGATCCATTTATTGAGTGGCCTCGAGCAGGTAGCTTACAGCAGCAGGGTCACTAGGTAAAGCTGCTGAGATTGCCAACTACTCCCCGTAACCCGCCAGGCCCCTGCTGTACTCCAACCCGGAGCCTCCCTTGGGTTCCTGGTTGAGGGGGTTTCCACAGCACCCTGGCCTTGGTTGCTTCAAGGCTAAGCTGTGGGAGAGATTAATTCGAAGTGAGAAGAGAAACTGTTGTTCTTAACCGTCAGGGCTGTTGGGAGTGTGCGACTCTTCTTGTATTTAGGGAAAAGATTACTCATGAGTATTTTCTTCCATAGAATATAAAGAACTTCAAATTACTACTTGTGTCCCCCGCCCCCTTCTCACCCGCCTCTCTGTTTCAGTTTGTCCTGGGCAGAAACTTCAGCATTTTACTTTCATTTCCCCTCCCAGGCAGGCTTCAGTTCTGTATTTGACATCGGACTTCCACCAAGTCACCCCAGCTAAGCCTTTCCCTGCATCCCCTGAGAGCCCTCTGCTCCCAGCCCTCTAGCCACTAGGTGCTTTCCTATGGCCAGCCTGATTGGAACCTCTCCTGACAGGACTGTCCTCCTACTCACGCAGTAAAGTTTGAAATCACAAATTACGGTGCTGTTCTTGTTCCAAGTGGGCACCATTGATGGTAGGAAGGTTGAAGGTTTTCACCAGCTCAAAAATTGAGATTTTTCCCAAGGTAGCCTGGCTGCCATTCCCACACCACTGTGCTTCCAGATGTGCATTTTCAGAGTTACGGGAGGAATTGGACACCTTGTATATTGATGCACTGTTTTGAGTAGGCATTGCTTTCTGACCAGTCAAGAGCTGTCAACAAAACCTTGAGTCTTTTAGTGGCCCTGTTTCATTCCAAAGATCCTACAAGCAGTCACATACTACAGATCATTATCCCATAATAGTCCTTGGGTTTTGTTTTGTTTTGTTTTTTCCATGTGAAAACATTATCATAAAACTTAAAAGCCAAGAAAACACTCTTTTAAGTGTCTGATTTTTATTTTGTGTTTTGTTTTTGTGGTAGTGGGCATTGAACCTTGGGCCTCACACATGCTAGACCCGTTACCACTGAGCTATAGCCCCAGCCAGCCCTCTTTTTACTTTTTATTTTGACTCAAGATCTCGTTAATTGCCCAGGCTAGCCTTGCCTCAGTCTTCACGTAACTGAAATTACAGGTCTAGGCTACCAGACCCAGTCAACTGACTAGCTCTGAAGCAACTTCCATAGGATTAGAAAAACCCAACTGCTGTTCTTTAAAACAGTTTTCTGCAGAGGAGCCACTTGGAAGACAGAGCCATAATAATGCCCAGAGCCTGGGATACTCTCTAGGGGATTTGAACCTTTTGTCCCCTTTTCCAGCAGCCTATCCAGTGGATCAGACAGTGTCATGTCATGTCATGGTTTAGGGTGCAAGGTGATCCCTTCCAGGATTAGCTGAAAGACCCTTTTAGGAGACGCAACGTCTTCTGAGCAGGTTTAAGTAATTCACCTTGAGAGACTGAAGCCCTCTGGGTCATACTGAACCCCTTAAACTCTTGATTTACACCTGTGCCTTTGGAGAACACAGCCCTGAAGACCATCTGACTCCTCACCTTGTGGTTGTCAGGATTCCTTTCAATTGTTAATAATTATCAAAGACCCCCTAAGAGCTTTTGCTCATGTGAGTTATAACAATACTTAAATTATTATAAACTAATTTAAAAAGTATTTACTAATTGCCAGGCATGGTGGTGTACACCTTTAATCCCAGCACTTGGGAGGCCAAGGCAGGTGGGTCTCTGTGAGTATGAGGTCTACATAGAGAGTTTCAGGGCAGCTGGGGCTAAAGGGAGACTGTCTCAAACAGGAGGCAGAGGCAGGTGGATCTCTCAGGGAGACCCTGTCTCAAAAAGACAAAAAAAATCACCAATAAAACATACAACTCAATTTTTAAAAATGGGCTGCAGCCCTGTCTCAAAAATACCAAAAAAATAAATAAATAAATAAATATGTAAATAAATAAATAAATAAATAAAGTATTTACTAACTAGTTGAAAACAAGCCTATTTAAAATATATTTTCCAAAAAAATGTGTGTAAACAGCAGTAGGGTTACATAGTTTTTTAGTAAGTGCACCCATGTCATGCAATGCCTGTGGAGGTCAGAAGCGGGCACAAGATTCCCTGAAACTGGAGTTACGGATGGTGGTTAGCTGCCATGTGGGTGCTGGGAACTGAACCTGGGTCCTCTGCAAGAACAGCAAGTACTGTTAACCCCTGAGCCATCTCTCCAGCCCCAGGGTTACATGTTTTTTGCAAACCTCTTTAATGTCTAATTTCACAGAAGATGATTAGCTTCTCATCTCTGTTCCAGTATTCAAACTGTTGTGATACCACAGGTCATGTGTCTTCTAGAACATCACACTGTGCTCATGAACAAATGAAAGTAAGAGAAAATGTTATAAAGAGATTTTGCTATACACTGTGCAAAGATCTTGGGAACCCTTAGAGTTCCTAAGATCCCACTTTGAGAGGCATTGTTGGAATGACTTCAATGATGTACCTACGTTTCCTATAGCAACAAAGTAAAATAAAAAAGGGACTTGCTGCCAGGCCCCCAGAGATCCAATCTGAGCTTCTCTGTTGGCCTCTAGCCCACTTCCCATCTTTCTCAAGAGAGCTAACACTACCCCCATGGGGAAGTTCTAGAATCAACAAGTCAAGCAAAAAAGGCAAAGGGCTTTTTCTCCTTACCTAGCCCTCTTATTCCCAGAGGCTAGCCTGCTGGTTTCCCAGAGGCTGCGTGAGTGACTCTTCCTGGAAGAAGTTTCAGGGAATTCTTCATTATTTGGCAGCCCCTGAAGGTCAAGGAAGGTTCTGGAGCATTCTCATTTCAAAGGACACTGGGCTACAATCACATCAGTTCTAAGTCTAAGGTCTCAACAGCACACTTCAGTACTTAAAAAGCTGGAGTTTTAACCTGGGACTTGGAACCCAACCCAAGGACTCTTGAGACATAGAGACTTGGTTCTAAAAACTATTCAAAGATCTTTCCTCCTTATCCCACTGTGTCACCAACAAGACCTTTTTCTCTCTGCCTTGCCCTTTCCAACAGGCTTGCAGCCAATTTACTGGAGCAGAGATGACGTAGCCCAGTGGCTCAAGTGGGCTGAAAATGAGTTTTCTTTGAGGCCCATTGACAGCAACACATTCGAAATGAACGGCAAGGCGCTCCTGCTGCTGACCAAAGAGGACTTCCGCTACCGATCGCCTCATTCAGGTGAGAATCTGGCTCTTGGTGTGGCTCTGCATGGAAAATATGATTGCTGGTGGTTGGTCTCATCCTGACCCAGGAATCTCCTGGCATTGGTCAGTGTGTGGGGAGAAGAAGTTTCCAAATCAAGGGGACTGTTAGGTTAGGAGAAATAACTCTTACAACAGTGGAAAAGAAAGTTCGATTCATGTCCTTCTCCTCATCTGCCTTGTCCCAGATTCTGAAGGCCCTCAAAGAGCTGTTTGAGTGTGTGCTATGAACTGTCAGCTTAAAAGCAGACAAGAGCCAGGCATGGTGGTACACACTATAATCCTAGCACTTAGGAGGCTGAGGTAGGGTTATAAAATTGAGGCCAGCCTGGACTACAAAGCAAGACTCCATAAAGAACAAACAACAGAATCGGACAAAGAGGAAAGGTAGGGATTTGGGCATTGCTGAAGTAGGAGAAAGGTCAAAAGGAAAAAGAAACGCAGTGCCCACGGAGGTCAGAAGAGGCTGTCGGATCCCCTGGGACTGGATTTACAGACAGTTGTTAGCTGCCATGTGGGTGCTGGGATTTGAACCCGGGTCTTCTGCAAGAACAACCAGTGTTCTTAACCGCTGAGCCATCTCTCCAGCCCCCAAGGTCTGGCTTTTTAGAGGTAATATACCAGGCTTAGCTTGTCCAAGTCCTGAAAGATAAAAGTGGAAGTGTCCTCAGGCCCATCTAATGAGGGAGATGTGAAAAGTATGAAGTCCTAAGACCACGTTGGAAGATTTCATTCAGTAATGAGCCTTTACACTACAAAGCATAGTGCCATCATTGCTCAATTCCATTTCTCCAACCCCATAGGTATTGAAAAGACAGCTGTATGGGAACTACTTTTGCTCGAGTGGAACTTTGGTCTCAGGTTTATGTTTCACAAGAGCTTAGTTATTGAAGCACTAAAGGGTCCTCATTGCGGACCCTGGTTTCTATGTGACTTGCTGGGCAGAGTCTATTTTACTAGGGAAAGGGCAAAGATCTGCCTAAGGCATGGGCATAGTCCCTAACATATTCAACTCTCATTTGCCACCCCCCTCCACCCCACCCTGCTACCACCATAAGCCTGCCAGAAGTTAATAAACTAGCCAGGAAGAAGAAATGTCACAGGACTGGGATGTAGCTGAAGAGCAGTAGCTCCTTGCAGGTCCCAGCCCAGCTGCAAGAGACCTTTACATGAAAAGGCTAAGAGGAAGCTTCCCTAGGAGTGGAGATGTTATTGAAACTTGAAAATTTACATCTCTGGAAACGGATCCTTTTAGGCTGGTATCAGGGTTATGAGCATTCTCAATCTCAAATCATTGATATTTTGTATACTCTCAGAATAAGAAAACTAAAAGCCGGGTGTGGTGGTGCATGCCTTTATTCTCAGCACTTGGGAAGCCAAGGCAGGCAGATCTCCATGAGTTCGAGGCCATCCTGGTCTACATAATGAGTTCCAGGACAGCTGGGGCTACAGGGAGACCCTGTCTC